CAAAAAGAAAAAAATTAAAAATACAATAAATCATGATGATTTAGTAATCTCCCATCAACTTCTATAAAAATAGATTCTAGAGAGTAGAAAACTGCCCCACAGTGTCTCCATCATCCTACCTTAGGTAATAAAAGCAGTGTGGTATAGTAGGAATAGGCATTAAGATACTTAGTTCAAGTCTCAGCTTCGTTACTAACTAGCTGTTTGAGCTTAGACATAATTCAACAAAAATGTATTAGGCTACCATGTAAAAAGAAGTAAGAAAGAATACTTCTGGGATATTCATTTTTTTTCCATCTGCAAAATGAAGACATTGGACTGGATAAACTCTAAAGTTGCTTTCTAATCTATTAATCCGTAGGTACAGAAGATCTGGAGACTTTAGGACGGTAAAATCCATTCCTCCTACTTTTATGTGTGTGGTTTAAGGGTCATGTTCCATATACAACATATGCCATGTAAATCTATCTTTTTGAGCTAAAAGACACCAACAATCCAACCCTTCCCCCATATCTCCCAAACTGGGATCAATGGGTCCTTTCACCCCAGTTTTTAGTAGTGACTCTTGAGGGACAGCAGATCTTTATCCATTATCAGTTACTGAAATGAAAGCAACCTGTACCAAAAACCTTATCCAGGGCAACTTAACACCCAACTGTATATACTCATCTACTTCTCTTCCTTTGCTCTTTTGTTCTGGTAATGGTTCTCCTGGGAGGGCCAGCATCATTACTGCAGACCTTTTTCTTTCTATTCATGGCCTATCTTCTAGGGACTTTCTGGTGATTAATGAAAATATCACTGTGACATACTACTTTTTTTTTTCTTTTTAAGTAAGTCTTGGGTTAATTAAAATGCCACAGAGAATGGAAAAAATTAATCCCATCTATCATCAGCATAATTGAACAGACTTAGGAGAAAGAGTAGAAAACTTTCTGGGGGCTGGCAAGCCATTCAATTTTACTCCCCAGAAGGGGAATAGCTAAACCATAGAAAGGCAGGATTTGGCACATATTAGAAGGCCTGAGAAGGGAGACCATATAATTAGGATAAAGTAAAATCTAATTTGTCTTGATGAAAATTAGACTTCTGATGAAGCTTAACTTCCTATCCTTTAAAAAAAAGCACATCATTTTGATTCCAAAAGAATGACAGGAAACAATAATCAAAATAAAATATTGAGGTAATTCTCCATATTTTTTGGAAAGAAATTTCGAAGACCTTGTTACATGGGAATTAAATCACTCTTTAAGATAAATTAGACTTGAGGCAGGGGCGATGCTGGGCAGGCAGAGAAACAAAAACACAGATTGTTAAAGCCAAAAAAGACCTTAGAAAATCATCCAGACCAACATCCTTCATTTTAGAGATAAGAAAATTGTGGTCTAGAGGAATTAAGAGAATTGGCCAAGGTCAAATGAGAATCAGGACTAGAACCCAGGCCTCCTTATTTCCATTGTAGTGCTTTTTCAGACAAGATTTCTTTGTCTTCTTAGACTGCTTTATTACTTATAAAGCATTATGATAACTGCTATCACAGTAGAATTTTTATATAATAAAAGATTTCTTAGTCCTGACTGGTGCTCTGTTTAAACACTATTTGCTGCAATTGAATTTTTGCAGATGAGACAGAGTCCTTGGGCGAACCTTAGTAAGGGGATATGCTCTGTAGTTCCTCCCAATTCTTTGATTCATGTGTTATTCCTGACTTTTTTTTGCTTCAGTCCTCCCAACTCACTTTTCCAATTGAGCCTGTAAACCTTACGAATAACTCCTACCTATGTTTTGTAGACCAAAGTTGTATTCCAGCTGGCTTATTTCAGTATATTCCTCTATGATGGTAGGATTTGAAAGCAGCAGAAGTGACTGCAAACAGCTATCTTTACTAGTAATTTCAGGGGACTCTTCATGCAAGCTGTGGGGCTGACCTTGTTTGAAAGGTGCTGGTGTGCTCTGAGGCAGGTGAGAGGCAGCCTATGGAGAAGGAGGTAGGGTGGGGGACACTGGAAGCTGATGACAGTGGACCTGTTCTCACTCTTGTTGAGCCAGGCAAAATCAGCAACTCCCTATAGAACAGTGAACATCCTACTGAGGCACAGCATTTTCATTTTCATCTAAACCTCAGATTTCTCAGTTTAAAAAAAAACACAACAAAACAATCTACCACCACACATACTTTTTGTCCTATATTTAAATAAACTGTTCCCTTTTCTTCAACCTAATCCCTCTTTAATTTTTTTTCTAGGGCAAATCCTTCACTTTAAGGGAAAAAAAAAATCAGCATGGACCTTCTTGTATTCTAGAAATTACAAGGAAACAGCCAAGAAAATGGGAAGAACCTATACTACTGAAGCATTGTGCATAGTCACTATAATGATAAGAACTTGGGAGAAGGATAAAAGGATGAGGAAATCAGAGGTCTGATCCCTTTTTGGAGGTTTGGGTTTTGGTCCACCACCTAAAGACAACAACTACCCATGACCTAGGGAAGGCTAGACCATGTCTCTCGACCTAAGTGTCCTCAACTGTAAAACAAAAGGGTTGATCTGTGAAGTTTGGATTCAGTCAAAGGGTCACGCTTGAGGACCGAGAGGGCCACACTTGGCCTTGAGACCACAGGTTCCCCACCCCTGATCTAGAGGGTCCCAAAAGTCCTTCTGAGCTTTAAATTCATGATAGGATATAAAACTAAATCATCTCTTGCAGCTAGGTGGATCAGTGGATACAGTGTTGGACCTGAAGTCAGTAAGACTTCAAATACAGCTTCTGTCACTTACTAGCTATGTGACCGCGGGCAAGTCACATAGCCTTGGGTCTACCTCAGTTTCTCACCTGTTTAATTTGGATAATAAAATAGCACCACTCTTCTAGTGTTATTCACAACAATGAGATAACATACGTACTGCACTTTGCAGACATTGAAGTACTATGTAACTGCTAGCTATTATATTATTATTGTTATTATTATTACTATTATTTAATCTCTCTCAATCTCCTTTTCCCATCTTCCCTTCTCTTCCCATTCTCTCTGAGGCAGTAATGAGAAGGAAAGGTTTTACTGGGATTGAGAAAAAGGAGAAATGAGACCACTACAATTATTTCTTCCTACTTCAAACCCTGGTGTTGAATTTCAGCTTCGAGCTCAGATTAGATGCCCAGTTCCTGTTATTTCAAGAAATGGGATAGCTGAGCAATGTTGTAGCTGTAATGATCTATTAATTCTATAAAGAAGAATTCTCAGAAGTAAAATAAGATTCCTTTTGGTTAGATATGAGGAGCTGCCAAACTTGCGTCCTTCTGACAAAAATATCCAGGGGAAATTTAGAGAAGACTAGCAAACATTTCTAGGACTTGAGGAAGTTATTTATATTGGAAGGTAAAAATTTTTGAGCACCTGCATTGTAGCATGGGTAAAAAATGGCATTCAAGTAAAATATCTGGAATATGTGACTACCAGCGGGAGGGAATGGAGTGAGCAAATAGTGGCATTTAAGCAAGACCAATAAAATTAACTTGCCTAAAAGAAAAACTGACACCAGCCATCAAGGAAAAAAGTGAAGTCAAATAGACTTTGTATTGCTTTTAGGTAGGTGGGTAGGTGGGTGATAGAAGCTCCCTTTGATGAGTCATAGAAAACTATGTTGAGCCAGGCTTTCAAAAACACCCAGGAAAGGACTGCATTGTCTTGCCTTGGGGGAGGTAAAAGCTGGAGATGACCTCGGGTGAGGGTTGAAGGAGAGAGAAGATAAGCATTGAGCTAACACACTGTTGAGTACCACTCCTCAAGGAGACAAGTTGCTTTTAGTGTAATAAATCATACATAAAAAAACCCAAACAAACCAAAAATCCCCACAAAGGAAAAAATTTGGACAGGAAGACTATCGCGTTGTTTTTTTATTTTTTATTTTTGCTTTGCCAAAGAATTCAAGAAAATTGAGTGAACACAAATCAATTTACAAATTTCAGTATTAATTCATCTTGATGATTTCCCCAATAATTTGAAATAGAGTTCATAATTAGAAGTCACTTAAATCTTTCTGGACAGTAGTTGTAGGAAGGTACATTTAGTACTCATTATTCAGTGAAGTGACATTTTCTAGCACTGTGGGGAATCAGATGTTTCCTAAAGATGACTTTTCCAGATACCTGAAGCTCATTTTAAAAAGCCAGTTTTAATGGAAAATCTTTTAAAATGGGTTGTTTACCTCTTTATCTTATTCAGTAGAAGATACTGAACATTAGAAGTTGGGATCATGGTGCAACATCTTGAGAAGTAGTACTATGTAACTGATATGGCACTGGACTTGGAGTTAGAAAGATCTGAGTTCAAATTCTACCCCAGATAGACCCTGGGGAAGTCATCTTACTCCTCTGTTCCTCAATTTCCTTATCTGTAAAATGAGTAGGTTAGCCTTTAAGATTCCTTCCAGCTAAATCCATGATCCTATGATAATTTAATCTCAATAATTATAAAACCTATTCTTGAACTCTGCTGTGATACAGTGCTATTCTTAGAGCTGCTCAGATCTGTATGGCTTTTAGCCCCAACACTGAATCAGCCACACTGCATTCTTGTGTCTGTTTTTATAATTTTTTTCTCATCTCTCTGTGAAACTGTTACCGGTTAACTCTTATTGCTGTCAGGATGCCTCTGTCTAGCAATCCTGCCCCATCTTTCTAATTTATACTTTTTATAAATATTTGAGCTAAGAAATGAAATAACTAACCATGTTAGAAACATGACTTCAGGGTGAACTGCATTATTTGGTGCTAGGGCATCATGATAACTTTTTTTTAGCTGCTCTCAAAAAGCTTTAAAAAGCTTCCTCCCCTGCCCCTTATGCATACTTTTGGGTTCTTGGCTGAACCCCAGAGAACTGAATTTGCCCCAGTAAGGAACCTCCAGATGAATGAGACATGTTTCAATGGAAAAAAAGAGTAAGAAGATGGCTTCTATCTCTTTAATTGCAACACAAAGCATCAACTTCTTTTTACAGTACCTGAAGCATCAGCGCTCAGAACCTCATCATGAACACTCGGCATGAGTTTAATATCCTCCGTGGCCATGCTTTTTGCCAAATATTACTGAAATGAAAAGTACAGCGGGCAAATCTGTGATCACCAGGCTTATGAAATCAGATACACACTTATATTCTCAGGGCTGTTCCATGTCCCATGCCTCAGTGAAAGGAAGCACCTCCCCTTCTTTCATTATATTGGTGCACAGAGCGTATGATAAAAAGAGAAGACAGAGCATAGAAAATGGGATAGCTGTAATGAAACACAGCCAATGTGACTGCTTTACCCAGACCGATAAAACTACACGTGCACTGAATTAGAGCCTGCCTCAAACCCCTGACCCCTGTACCTCTCAAGAGGGAAATGCACTGTACTGTGCACATCTGAAAAGAAAGGCAGGGTTCAGTGCACTGACATTTTCCTTCACACTGACAGAGGCAATGTGCATATTGTATGTCATCCTTTAATCCCCACAAGTATTCAAAGGAAAATATACCTTGCTGAACTTACAACCCACACATATCTTGTTTATTTAAACATCAACATGATCTCTGTCACCTTGAGATACCTGTTTTGTTTATCATGGTTCAATTTATCACCGTACTCTTAAGGTGAAAGGAAAAGGTTTATAAATGAAGATAATGACAGTAATGAGGCTTTCTGTGTTGTACCTTTTGCTGGCTTTTAACTCTTAGCAGAAATTCAGCTTCACAGAGTTGGTTTATTGGAAAGGACAGAGACAGAGAAAGAGAGAGAGAGAGAGAGAGAGAGAGAGAGAGAGAGAGAGAGAGAGAGAGAGAGAGAGAGAAGAGAAAGAGAGGAAGAAGAAGAAAAGGAGGAGGAGGAAGAGATAGAGGAGAAGACCGAGAATGAGGAGGAGGAGAAGAAGATGAAGAAGAAGAAGGAGGAGGAGGAGGAAGAGGAGGAGGAGAAGGAGAAGCAGGAGAAGGAGAAGGAGGAGAAGGAGAAGGAGGAGGAGGAGAAGGAGGAGGAGGAGGAAAAGAAGAAGAAGAAGAAGAAGAAGAAGAAGAAGAAGAAGAGGAAGAAGAAGAAAGAGGAGGAGGAGGAAAGGGAGAGGAGGATGGAGAGAAAGGTAGGTTCTGGCGCTAACACACAAAAGAGAAAAGATAACTCTTTTTAAAAAAATTTTTTTAGGCATTTGGGGTTAAGTGACTTGCCCAGGGTCACACAGCTAGTAAGTGTCAAGTGTTTGGTCTGAGGTCGAATTTGAACTCAGGTCCTCCTGACTTCAGGGTCACTGTTCTATCCACTGCGCCACCTAGCTGCCCCAAAAAGATAACTCTTAGAAATGTAAAACATTCAAGATCAACTTTCCATTGAGCTGTATTGCCATTTTTAACACATTTCCATTTCAATTATCTTCTTCTTTTGAAACACTGTATTTCAAAACTGCAACATAGAGAATAATTCCGAACATGGTTGCTTCCTAGACTACATCCTTCTTCACTATCTCTGGTCTCATCTTCCCCCCCCCCCAATTTCTTTTTTGTTGTTTTGAAATACCATCCTCCTTGCTTTTATAACTAACAATTCCACATCTCTCCTTTTATACTCTCATCTAGACTTCTTTTTAATGTTTTAGCCCCCTGACCTCTGGAATGTAGGTCGCCTCTGCTTCACCATCTTTTCCCATTAAGCATTTTCCTGTGAGAGGAAGCCTAGTGCTGTGGATAAAGAGCCAGACAAAACGACCTCAAGGTCCTCCTCTGGGTGACCCTGGGCAAGGTACTTAACCTTTCAGGACCCCAGGAAACTATAAAACTGCAACTTTTGATGTTGTACAAACCTATGTTTTACACATTTCCTATTACCTCAGTTTCTCCATATTGGGCAAGCCGTAGTAGACCCCCTAGTTCTCCTGGGCAAAGTTATACCTGAAAATTTCTCAGCATTTCCTAAACACCCCACTTTGTCTGAATTATTTTCTCTCAGAACATCTCCATGATACATATATTTGTTGTTGTTTGTTTCTGAGTGTTCAATTCATTCCTTCATTTTATTTTCTATTAGCAATCTTTTTAATCTTTTTCATTGTCCTGCTACTTTCCAAGGTTTCTTTTAAAAGGTGATCATTGGTGGTGCAGAGCATAGAGCTTCAGCCTTGGAGTCAGGAGGACCTGAGTTCAAATTCAACCTCAGACACTTAACATTTGCTAGCTGTGTGACCCTGGGCAAGTCACTTAACTCTGATAACCTCACCAATAAACAAATAAAAGGTGGTTATCTCTCCCACTGTCATCACATAGAGAAGACAGAACTTAAGGCTTTTTTGTTTTTTAAAAAATTTTATTTTTATTGATATCTTTTTCATATCATCTTAATTTTAGAACATATCCTTCCCTCTGTCCTACCCAGCAAAGCCACACCTTGTAACAAAGATTTGCTTAAAAAAGAAAAAAGTAGCACAGCAAAACGAATCCGCACATCACCCATGTCTGATGTAGGCAGTATTCTACACCCACAGGCTTCCATATCTTTGCAAAGAAGAGAAGGAGGTTTGTTTTGTTAACTCTTCTGCAGTGCTAACGTTGGTCATTATAATTACACAACATTCACAGTTTCTTTGTTGTTGTTTCTGTTTACACCTTTGTGGTCAATGTATATACTGTTTTCCTGGTTCTGCTTATTTCGTTCTGCATCAGTTTCTTCCCTCTTTTCTTGATCAACATTGACAGAATCCTAATCGTTGCATCATTTCCATGAAAAGTTCTGTGTTTGCTACTTTCATGCCTCCTTCATTGGCGTGGTGGTAATGAATTCACAACAGCTGTCTCTTAATGCTGTTCAACTTATTGTTCCCTAAGGCAATCAAAGAGCCTCAGCAAAGATCTGACCCCACAGGTTGGCCCTGGCAAGACATAATTACGCTTCACCCAAATGTTTATAACTCCTCGATAAGGCATATTCAGTGGCAAAGAGAAAGCCTCCTTATTTACCAAGGTTTTATTTTTAGCTCAGCTTCTTCCAATTTCTTTACTCTGCCCTTATTTTCCTCCCTCCCCCACATTACATTTTTATGAGGCTATTCTGTCACATTCATTCTCTTTGTGTTTTCTCCTTTTCTTTCCCCTGCCCCATTATTTCTCTACCCAAGAGAAACAATCTGATGTAGTAGAAAGAGCATTTAAAATCAGAAGACTTGGGTTGGAGTCTTGGCCCTGCCACTTACCTTGTGTAACTTATTATTTCTCTTGGACTCAGCTTTCTCATCTCTAAAATGGCATAATAATGTTTGCACTATTTATATCACAGAGTTTCTTCGAGGAAAGCATTTCATGCATTTACTATACAAGTGTAAACTATTCTTATTATTTTGGTCGACCCTGGAGCCCATCACCTCCAAGTGACTGTCCTCAATTTGAGATCTGAAATTCCCTTTCCCATGGCATTAAAATGTTGTCTCTCTATGCTACAATTGGGATTAATTAATAAGTGCTTTTCTTATTGAACGAGGGGAGAGAGCTGGCTTCCCTCTAAGCTCAGTTGATATAGTCACATAAAGTAAGGGACCGATAACAGAAGTAATAAAATATTAATACCTGAGTTAACCTAAGTTAAACTTACTGTAAAATCTTCCATGTTAAATTTACTGCAAAACTTAACTACCATGTTATGGTCTTAACCAAATGTGACTGACTTCTCTTTGGCGTAGAGAACAATAGCAGGAGTCCACTGACTAGCTAAAGATTAGCTAGAGGCTTAGTAGCCTTTAAAAAGTGAAGTCTGCCAGCCCTGAAAGCAGGGAACCCTTCTTCACACTTCATAAAGGGGTGCCATGGATTGGGGGTAGCTTTACACTTAACCTATTAATGATCTCATTACCTCTATTATCTGCCCATTAATTTTGTAACTATATCAATTGAGCTGTCTCCTGATCCCTGCCACTGAGCTTGGGGAGCAGTGAGGGTAAAAGGAAACTGTCTCCCCATTACCATGTCAACAGCAGCAAACCATACTGACACTAATTTTCCCACCTATTCTCCTTGTAGGGAGTCTATTACCAATTCAAGGCACTGTCTGACATTTTTGTCTCATTCTTGTGACTTTCATCTTCCTGATCCTACAACATTTTTACATAAATATCAATATAACTTATGTTTGCATGTTGCTTATTATTCTTTTTAAAATATTTTTAATTTATGGAATAAAACAAGTACTTTCACAACACAGTATAACAAAAAATGATGCATATGAAACTGCAAATCTATTATGTACAACTTGCTATTCCTTTTAAATATATAATAAAGTTATCATATAAATTTCTTTTTTTCTTCCCCCCCACAGATGGCTACCATTAGACACAAATATGTCTATATGTAAAATAATTCTATACATAATTCCATTTATCAGTTCTTTCATGTTGCTTATTATTAATAATAATAATAGCTGGCATTTATATAGGACCTTAAGGTTGGCAAAGCACTTTACCTATGTTATCTCATTTGATCCTGACAACAATCCTGGAAGGTAGGTGCTGTTTTCATCGTCATTTTAAAGATAAGGGGACTAAGGCTGAGAAAAGTTAAGTAACTTGATCAGAATCACACAATTATTAAATGTCCGAGGTGGGATTTGGACTTAGGTCGTTCTGACTACAACTCTAGCCCTCTGTCTACTTCATCTAGCACAGTGCTCTGTGACCAGAGAAACTGCTCAGTAAATGCGGTTGATTTGAAAAACACATGCTTGCATTATCATTTTTTTTTTAAAGACTGGGTCTCATTCCCAGGCTAAAAATGCTGTCATCACATGGGTCTGACCCTCTGTAGGTAACTAGATGGCCTTCTGGGTGACTGTAGGAGAGTCACCATTTCTGTGCCAGACACAGTGCTAAGTTCTGTGGGATCCAAATGCAATGAATAAAATAACTCTCTCCCAAGGAGAATGAAGGAGACAAATATTGCATAATTATAATGCAGAGAAAAAACAAAGTAGTTGGGGAGGGAGGGCACTAGCAAATGGGGGAACAGGAAAGGCTTCATGTAAAACATAGGGCTTGGTCTGTGTCTTAAAGAAAGAGATGGATTCTATGAGGCTAAGGGGAG